GACCTGATCTCCAGATCGAATAGTAGGATGGGTGGGGAATGAAGTTTTGGTGGAAGATCACCGATCGGAGCTGCAGAACATCAGCATACAGAATAAGGTTATTGGAGTGCTAACTGCTAAGTTGCCGATGTATTTGATGCAAAAGTAAACTGGCAGTCTATTGGTATCCGAATTATTCGATGTTTTGAAAATCTCTTATCAATGTTCATACTCAAAGTTGGACAGGTAGTCTTTTAGTCATACAAAAACGGCGAATGGACGATAAAAAAATTCGTTTTCGAAGAAGTGACTATAGCGCACTGGGCCACCAGCGGAGAAGTAATTGGGGGAAAACAACGAAAAATCTCACAGATATCTAAAAATTCACCATTTCTGTACATCCTAAAACAGCATTGCCTTGGCTGCAGCCCCGTCCCAGAAATTTGATTGTGCATTTGTATACCCGGTAGATAAAAAGGAAGCAAGAACATCGTTAATATCTGAAAGTCACATGAAAAACGGAAGCCCCAACATCGAGTGTGAACTGAAACTAGCTTTTGGGGTTTACAATGGAATTTGTAAGTGACTGCAGATAACCCTTTCAGTTAGCATCAATCTAGGCTAATTTATAGCAATAGACTAGATGCTTAGAGGATATCATTGTGGAACAAACATCACCAATTGGCACGGTAGTAACGGGTTATATAACTGACTTCAAAAGGTGGACTGATAAGTATTGCCATTGTGTAACTGACTCGATTCCATATTTTGGTAGGATAAATGTCACCGTTCGAGCTCTCGGCAACCGTTGATTCGATGGTTTTAAAAACGGCGATATGGCCAACAAAACTTATTTACAGTGCTCCACCTTCTCTGTCTAAAATAACAGCTTACATTTCTAGGGTTTCGGGATGGGTGAAGTGGGTGGAGAACCACATGGTAGTAGTTTTGCAGATTATAATTGTGTGCATAAGTAGAGAATGCGAATTTCAATTACTTCCGCGGTGACAAGGGGATGTTTTTCGAGAAAAATACTGGTCAATTCCACTGATTGGACAGATTTTGCTCATGATTCACTTGGTGATTCTAGTTTGTAACAAAATCATGTGATGTTCGTGATCTCGCCGAGTTCATCATTTACTAGTGAGACTAATGTGAGTTATCCCAAGGAACAGGTAAAAGAATAAATTCTATCGTCCTGCTGCAGCTGTATTGAGTCATGGGAACTAAAACAGAAGTAGCGGAAATTTACTTTCTCATCCTCAACTCACCACTATGCAAGAAAACAATTTTTTCAAATCACTGCGATTTGTGGGAGACTCAGCAATAACACACTATCTGTCTGCACAAAAATTCCGGTAACCAGGCTTAGCAAAGGTTGGAGGTTGAATTACTATGTACTGTCTGTGTTTCATTTCCGATCCTGCCGGATACTTGACACAACAAATCTCAATCACTGAAAGCTACTTACAGACCATTATAACCCAAAGGTCGATCCCCATATTTCCTCAAATGAGAAGGAACTAGGGATCATTGTTTAATAAGACTTGAACTTCTCGATCAACTGATCCAGGGATTAATCCACAGCTATAAAAACATTAGTTTTTTTTAAGCGTATCGTCACACGGCTTGGGTTAACACTGTTACCTCGTTTTTAATCACCTTCTGTTTGAGTCCATGGTCGTGATCACAAGTTTTAAGATAGTTACCAAAACGGTCATTGGGTAAAGTTCCTTCACCAATGTGGCATCACACCTTCCTCCGTACAGATAAGTTCAAAGATACTCAACTTTGGTCTGTAAAATGCTACGAACCAAATTGACCCACGTCCGAAGCTAAGACAATACCCCACTGTCCATCTCAAGAGACATCCATTAAAATCAGTGGTCTGAAAACAACGGTGCCAGTTATTTGCACTCAGAATGTGCACTGGTTGGAATGTTCTTCCAAGATACTTCGGTTGGCACCAACTATTGAATCCCTCAAGCCACGGCTGATGAAACAAAGACACCTCACAGTTTAATACTAAAAAAGCGGAAAACCAGCACATTGTGATATTTTGAAACCCGAAAATACAGGTTCTCATTTTTGAGCATAAAATGAAACAACTGTGGAAATACCCCATGCAAAAAGAGAACGAGCTTGTAAGTAATATCTATACCTCATTTATATAATTATTTTACTTATTTTGAAGTTGTACCTGTTGACGGAAAAAAACGTGAGACGGGAGCTGAACGCCTATCCAACAGAATAATTGAATGTTTCTCCGGAATTTAATTTAACTGCACTAGATATCAACTTTTGATACTTTTATTTTCACATTGATCGAAGTTTCCGGTAAGTTATTCGCCCTTATTTGAAGATTCACTTAATGAAAGAGTCTCAGATATGACCATCCACACGAAGGAACACCACAGTTGCTCATGCTTTTTGAAAACCAGCGAAATTTATTATAGACAGAGATACCATGAAAGGATGTTACCGTTCCCTGTTGTCGGACAACACAAGTTGACAAGTGATTGGTAGTGTGAAATTAATGTGTTGGTCAGGTTTTGGCTAGAATTCAATCAAATTAAACCCAGTATAAGGACCGTAAACGGATTCAGTAGCTGTTCTAGAGGAAATGGAAGAAAATCAGTTAGGAAATAAAACGGAAGACTAATAAGAGGCTGTACGGTGAACTCATTCACTCCAGGATACAGAAACGACCGTCGCTAAATGAACTTACCTTTCTCAGTGTTTGTGTAATTAGCGTATGTCTACACGGGTATGGAAGGGAAGATGTGTTTGTTTGCGTACAACCGCAGACTTCCAGGTAATTCATGCGACTGAAATGCATACTTATGTCCATTTAATGGTCATCCTGTGCGTCCCGGAAATAATGGCTACACTATGCTCAAACAGCGTCATAAACAGAAAGTAGTCGTGGCATCAAACTCCGACAGATCTGTAAAGTTCAGGTCGAAATCAGTTTCCTAACTTTTTTCAGCGAGCCAATAGCTTGTTCGATCACAATTGAAACCGGCAATTTAAAAGTGTTACAGAGCAGATTCTCCGGGCAACAAAAGACAAGTCAGTAAAAAAATGAGGAATAAAAACTAATGAAAACAGTGTGAGAAAATTACCGTGGATAATCTAGAATCATCAGCCGTGTTTCTGGAAGCGCTGGCTGTAGGCATCACGGATTGGGACGACTGTAACGGTGAAACAGCACCTGATCGAGAGAATATTTATAAAGGGTGAAGTGGCATCATTATAATTTACGGAAGCTTAACAAAATGTCAAAACTTTATACGAAAGATATGAGAAAAAGAGAAATGAGGTTTTTAAGTGCCTCAGGAATATGAATCCTAGAGTGAAGAAAATCAAATGAACCCAATAATCGCGTTGAACTACAGTACACCGAATGAATGTCAGCAATCTCAGTCCTCGGAATCGGAGTGACGAACAGTATGACACAATAATAAAACAGACGCAGCTATCAGACGACAATGTGAATTCCACTACAACGAAAAACTTTGAGCCAAAGAAGAAAGGATCAAGTAATTCAGTGTCCCAGCCATTAGTGCGTGAGCACATGTAGTTTAAAAAGGTTTGGTAAATTTGCCAAAATCACCTAGTGGAATTTGGTAAAAACTGTGATCGGATAAAAGGAAATCGGCTAACCAATCGTCATTGGAAAACAGGAAGGAAACTCACACGTGCACGTGAATGCGCATACAATCACTCCCAGGTGCAATAAATACCGGCCAGAGTGAGGAAACTTAAACAATTGGCTGGAACTGCTTTTTCGGATTAGTACAGTTTACAAGTACGACTTTTGTGCACGCAACTGATTTGGACAACGAATTGAATGAACTTCGCGGACAAAGAAAAATATCCTCACATAAGAGACAAAATTGAAACCGTATCCATCGGGGTATCGCACCCTGAAACTCCCGTTATGGTGTATTCAATGATAATATCAATGATAACCTGGGCACTCTCAGATGTGATGCAAGTGGTGATTTTCGGGATAAGCCACGTAGCTATGCTACCTAATCTATCTTCAAAGTCCGTGAACTCCTGCAGTTTAGAAGATCCCGAAATCATTTTTTGTTCAAGTCCTAAATTTCTTTCAGATCGAACTGAGATCCGCGGAACAAGTAAGGTAAACTGGAGAGATGAATAAGCAGTATAATGAAAACCTCTGCACAAGTCCTGACCAATGAGGCATGGTGATGTCTTCCTACATGAAGCGTCCAATGATGTTAAACATGTCAGAGGATATGTGGTTGTTCAGGTCCGTGCAATAGCCGGTCCTGATAGCATAGCCAGTCAGGAGAGGTTGGTCCATTTCGTCAGTGGTATTTAGCCATTGGCCGCTACCGCATTCCCGTTTACGATCCTCGTTCTTCTTACGAAGGTAAATCCAGCGTCACGGTCTTCACGTCCGCATTAACGGTTCCGGTAGCCCGCCACCTTGGCTACCTAAATCCCTACTCGAAATCGACTAGCGTTGGTCATGACAATGATCAGCCTCACATCTGCGTGCGACTGGAGGAGCGAAGGCTGTCACTTTCGGCTCCTGTTCGTCGATGGATCGATAACGAGTTTTATTGACTTGTTGATTCACACACACGGAAGTATTTTCAGACACTGATATCTGATATCTGGATTGAACTACCTCAAAATGAGTTTTAGCAATTACACTGAAGACACTATTGCTCAATCTCGAACGATTCGGCAAAACAGGTCCAACTGGAGCAAACAAGCAATATGTATGCATAATAAACAAAGCTTAGAGCGACCGCATCTGTTAAGTGCGACCTTAATTTCATTTAAATGTGACAATCAGCCATAATAGCCCCAATTACTCATACAATTTCATTAGTTCATCAAGTGGTATTTTTTATGGTGGACTTCAGAAATAGTTCGACCATTACCGTTGCGACAATATCGGGGTTTTGAGCATGAGGCGTAGGTGTTTCCAATTGGGGCTTAGGAAAGTGGATCAGTCCAATGACATATCACCATCATCATCATCATCATAGTACAGGGAACTTCACTGATCGCTACCAAACTCATAATGCATACAAAGGTTTGTGGTAAAATTTGAGGTGGACAGGGACTGGACGTATCTCGAGGCTGGGCTGGTCAACACAGAGTACACAACCTAACTGTGGATACATGAGGTTTCAAGCGTTCTGGAGATAGGAAATAGCAACAAGAACGCCACTGATGTCGATTGGCTGCCATATCCTTCAGCGTCTTCAAACAACTTCCTGGTAACCGAGACACTTATATCCGGCTTGCTGTTCCCAGATGTTGTTCTCTCTAAAAGGAGTCGGAAGTCGAAATATGACGGAGGCTAGCACTTTGGATACGATTGGGATCAAACTTATCTCGCAGTGATTTTCGCAATCGTTGATAGAACCTTTCTTGAAAATAGGAATAATTGTTGATTCGCTATTGCATCCAAATGTCGTGCAGTAAGTTCACATTCGCCAGAGAAAGTAGACGATCTTCCCATTCAAGGTAGGAACTACAGAATTAGGTCTATAACTGGTTTGTCTGGGAAGTGCAGGAATGTGTCTTTCGCTTAAAACTTCGAATAGAACTCAAAACTGGCGTCAATTTATGAATGCATCAGTCTCGGATGTATGTCGGGGGAATGCAACTCAAAGGGTATTTTTGAACCTGCTGCCCCTTTTAAGAATAGAGTTTCTTTGTAAACCGTTTGTAAACTACGACCCGCCAACGCTTCGGTTAGTGTCCTCCCACCAGGTACTAAGGACTTTGG